ATTCCGACTTCCGTAAATACAATGTAGAGGCGGTTAAAGGTCATCATAGATTAATGAGCATCAGTGCCATATGGTTGAGCTTCCCCTTATTCTTTTCAAAGTCATTAAGTAAACGACTTTTAACAATCTCAAAGCGAGTTCTTTGTCAGTGCTAATTTGCGAATAAAACTGAAGTTGTGAAATTTAGATTGTGCCAAGCAGTAACGTTAGAATAGATTACAGAAGTGTTATTGAACACGAAGTGAAGACCTATGAATTGTTTTGGTAAATTGTTGGTTTTGTGGAAAATTGTTCTCCTCCACAACTAGAGGACGTATCGATTTCAAATTTTCACTGCTTAAAGCCTCCAGTATTAGTAATTTTGGCGAACATTTCTAATCTAAAAATTTATAGAGTTTCTATTTCGTTAATTCATTAGAGCACCTTCATTTAACATTCAGTACAATTTATCATTTGGCTGGAATTTTGATAATGTTGCGATGTTCAGGTTAGCCATTTGGCATTACTGTCCATATTTTTGAGCAATGCACTCTTGCTATCGACTAGCTTGCTAATTTTGAGAACTTGTGATTAGAATGAGTTTAAAACTACGAATTCATTTGATTGTCTTTGTTCGTTTTTAGTTTGGGTAAATTATGAATCGATATCTCGTGATTATAGTAATTTTTGTTCTTCTCGCTGTAACTGGGTAAGTATTTAATTTATTAATTTTACTAAACATCTTTTGTTGTATGATAGTTAGATGTAATTTCAAAAGGGTTGCAACTACAGATATATTATTCTTTTACCGTTTGTTACTCCAATCGCAATGGTCCAATTTTTCATTTAATGAGTGTGAAACATGCAAAAGAAGATAGCAGAACAACGCAGGCAAAGATATATTTTTTGAATGTAAAAATGATTTCTCAGCATTTCCGATTTGAACGAAAATCAATCGGCATAATTGGAAATGCGATGTTTCATACTGTCGCGTTTTCGTCTCAAAATTCGCCCATTATTACATACCAAACATATACATTTTGGTAATAGGTTCATCGTTTTAGCAACAATTATTCAGGTACCCAAAATAAACAGATTTGATGCAGTCACGTTAATGCAAAAATTTGATAACAAGAGTATATAATAAGACTGCAAAGTTTTTAGACTTTCTTGATGAACAATTGCTCTAACTGACTGCCCATTTGCATCATTAAGCGGAAATGAAGCTTTGACATTAAATTGCCGTCAGCAGGCATTCACTGGCTATATTGCGCCATTTGCCCAACCGTGTTTATTCAACTCGTTCTCAGTCGCGCATCGAATGGACACTGGAATAAAGCAGTACATATTTTTTCGACATCAGTTTAGGTCTTTGGCAGCCTTCATTTTCAACAAACATAATCTTTATATATACATTTATATAATCTTTATATTACATTTATATAAACAGAAATGAATACACCAATGGACAAACAATTTCTACGATCTCTACCACTCCCGGATTTAGAACATTGAATAGATTTCAAAAATCTTCTGCGGTCGCCTGGGGTTAGCCGAAGTTTTGCTTTTAAAAAATGAAAACAATTTATGTGTACAAGCTGAAGTAAATTTATCAGAATATGTTCTACTTGGGTTCAATCCCAATTCAAAAATAATTATTTGGGAACATACTTTACACGGCCAGCTTATTTTTGCTAATCTAATTTAAGAATATATGTAGATAAGGTCATGAAACCGTTGAGTATATTACATATACATTTTTTCCCATGCTAGAAAAGCACAAGACTTTACACTTATTCCTGTGAAAAGATGTATCTTGTGATATAGTGAATTGCTGCTAATTCATGTTCGTTGCCAGTCTATACCTACCGCGTTTCATATATATACTTTACGTTACAAGATAGAATCTGAGTAAAATTCAGAAAATAATATTGATAAATTTTGATACCTTTAGGTAAAATGATAACAATGTTTGATACTCCTGAAGTATGCGCACCAAGATGTCGCATGACCTGAACCCTATCCTGGTACACAACCTGGGTTCAGGTTGTGCGCCATCTTGGTGCGCATACTTCAGGAGGTCCCAATGTTTTTTCTGAATGCGAACAATTTGTTGCAAGACGTAGCTTATGGTACGCAAATTCTTTACACCCCTGTTACAGATGTGTCACGACGAAGACGATTCCGATATTTAGAAGATAATGATGAGGATGACAGAGAATTGGATGTATTTGAAATTTTTGAATAAACCTAGAATAAAACAATAAATGCAAATATATAACAGGTGTTGTCGTTACGTTTCCAAGCAAATCTTATAAATTTTTGAAATGATGCCTGATGATGCTTCTAACTGTAACGTGACAATTTCGAATGCAGTGTAAATAATAGCAATCAAAACAACAGTTCTTGTTGATCTTGATAGCCGGTTCTGTTTCGTCGGCACAAAGACTCGTTGCCAACTGCCTATACGGCATTACTCATAATGCTAAAATAATTATATATTTATATATTTCTAAACGTCATCATCAGGAAGACAACATCAGTTGTACTATAAAAGTAATAGCGTTCCTCCACTGATCAACTAACAAGACAGCGATGCTCAAATATACTGACACGAAATAGTGCCTGTGTAGTATGTCAGAGTAGCCTACCGTTACCATATGGCTTCCCTGGACTCCCTGCTTCAGTATGCGATACACCTTAAAACACTCTCCCTATGCCTAAACATTTTGAAACCATCATTTTTATTTAAAAAATTATCTAACCACGTGCCGCTTACAGGTGAACTACTGATAGCTAATTTTAGCGTAGTTAATCACATAGTTCGTGAGACTAAATTTTTGATGCTCCCGAAGTATGTGCACCAAGATGGCGCACAACCTGAACATAGTATGTTTACCAGGTTAGGATTCAGGTTGTGCGCCATCTTGGTGCACATACTTTGGGAGCTCCAAATATTTATTACTGCAACTAAAAACCGACAAATAACACGCAAAACTATAAAAACGAGGCAATGTTTACAATCCTTCTTGAACATCTGTCTGATCGGCTGCAGAAACTGCAATTATTTGTGATTGGTTATGGTTAATCGTTAAGGTAATAAACAAGGAAATCATATGATTTTAATAATAGACACTAAAAGAGACTTAAAAAAGCTAAGAAAAAAGCCAACAAGCCAAACGGAAGTTCTGACGTCAAACATGTTTGAAAAAAGACAAAAATGGCAAATTTGGCCTTGAAAAAGCCAATATGGCAACCCTGCACAGAGAGCGCAATTTTTTAATTTGATGACGTTATCGCACAGTAAACTGAATCCCATGGAGACCACAGAAATTTTTGAAATAAATAAAATTATTAGACCTCTAGCAAAAAATATAATCTTTAACCACTGAAAATTTTAAAGCAATTGGTTCAGTAGTAAATAAGAAAGGCGATTTTTTTGCATAATGATAAGAAGAAAAATACCAAGAAGAACAACAACACAATAACAAAACGATTCAAAGGTCCATTTTGTGTACAATAATAATAATAACAAACGTCCATATGTCCATTTTGTGGCCAATAACGCGTCTGACGTAATAGATGTCAGAAAGATCGCCTGCACTGAATTAGCGTTGTTACTCACGTAGAATTCTTATTAGCCATCCTCATGCAAAAATAATCAAGATCAAACTAACCTCAGCGCGGTAGACCTGCGTCGGATGTGTGACATATAGCGGTCGACCTTACGCTATAGTAGAACCTGAAATTTTATTGAAAATTTCGTCTGCTTATCAAATTTAATTTTTCCCAAATAACTGTCGTAAATTGTAAAGTCTGACTATCACTTTTTACTACATGGCTGGTAAAATGAACAATATTTACGATATATATATATATATATATATATATATATAAGCCTATTTGCCGGGGTTGGAAGACATACCTATTTTATATGCATTTGGGATACCTCCGTATAACGTGTTCTAATCTGAGCCATTTCTCGCGGTATATGATTGAATGCGCTCGGCTACATTCATAATAATTTTTTTTTGTATTCGGACTATTAATCTAAAATATACCTCCGGTGTCTACCAAATCCGGTCTCCCTAATTTTTTTCAAAATTCGGAAAAGCCTATGAACTATGACTTGGGGGACCTTTAAGGTGGTCCTCCAAAACATGGTTTTTCAGTATTGAATTGAATCAAAATTTAACTATGATGTCATATTAATATTATACTTAGAATGAAAGGTTACATACACAGAACGTCTGGATAGTTGCAACTACCGCTGTGCAGTACTTTGAAAAATTATGAGCTTTCATTCCCGCTGTAACTCTGAACGAGTCACTGCATAGATCGGTGATTGGTTCATCCATACGTTTACCCAGCATATAATTTTTAAAAATTACGTTTTTAATATTCCCGCCATAACTAATATAATTTATACAGAATATCTATTCTGGAAACTTGACGCGCTCTCTATTAGCTCTGATTAATAAACTATTCAAAAGTATAGCATTGTCTGTCGCTCAGAGCTAGGCTTTGTACGAGCAAATGCTGTGAGAACGAAAGATGTCGTTTTTGGCCAAAATTGGGTGTTGCGTAAATGTCTACTACTTCAAAGTTTGGCATCATTGAATCGGACATTTCCTCAAAATTAGGCTCTGCTCGTGCAAATAATTGCTAACGAATGCGTCAATATTTCAAATGGTTATAAACCATCACACCAAAAGATTCTATAGATAAAACTATTGCTATGGATTAAAAGACTAAAAGACAGCATACAAATTTTCCAATGGTAAAGTACAAGAAGACCTTTCCTGGGGTCAAGTGGTCGCAATACATTCAAGCAGTGCAATGAATATTAATACAGTATATGAAATCTATCAGTTTGGGTTAAAGGTCATCTTTGGAAGGTCTTGGTCACAGTCAAAGGTTGCTATGTGTCCCCGGCGTTTTCTCTGGTTGGATTTTATAGTAGCATTACATAAATGGCGTTAAAATGATGCAGGACCCATGCATTCATAAAAATCTGTATTGTCGTGTGTAGATAGCATTACATAACATGGTGTCAAAAGAGATGTAGGACCCATGCATCATTAAAATCTGTATTGTCATGTATGTGAAAATAACGTGTTCAATTTCCGTGTTGTCTTTTTTTTAAAGTCAAGGCTAAAACGTAATTTTATTATCGCCTACTTAATTAACTTTTTTGTTCGAAAGTTTATCTAATATCAGCTGATTCATTTATTTCAGATTTTTATTGGATGTGTTCTCAAAACTTCAAATATCCCAGTAGTTGTTTTGTTCTTAGAAAGGCTTTAGTTTGGTTACAGTAAGCAGAATTCAGTCCCAACGAAGTTGCAATAGTCAATGTGGAAATTAGCTGTTAATAGTTTTGGGAGACATGCGGGTGACTGATATCAATTATAATGATGGTTATTAAACTTTTTCATCCGGTTTCAAGTGTCAACTCGTTAAGCAACTCTCAAAACAAGCATACAAATTTTTGTCAGTCCAGTGATACTGTGATTCCACTGATTTCAAAGTTTAATCGTTTGAGTGATACCATATATGCACTTCAATGATCACCACGTGACATACGTGTGTGGCCTCAAACAATCGTGCCGCGATCTGCCAGAGTGCCAGTTCCTTCTTCGCTGATTCTTTTTTCGGATGGGATTTTGGTTAGCCTATATGTGGGTTTTGGGGTACAGGTGTCATGTCAAATTATTGCCAGTGTGTGTGAGAGAGTACCAGTACCGGGATCAAGTGTAGTTTAGTACGGTACGCTACCGGTACGGTACTTCTGGTGCGCGTAACAAAACGATTTTTGTACCCTACCCTACCGATATCGTATGTGTTATTCCAAATCTCCGCCTTACTACGGTACGCCAGCAATAAATTCGGTGACGTAATTTTTGAACGGCATAGTCTGGTGGGGGTTAGGATTATGCTGAAAAAAATTGAGCCAGGCCAACTAGAAGTTAATGTACGGTAGTACCGGCACGAATCTACACAAGACCCGGTACCACAGTACCATACCGGTACATACCGTACAGAAATAGTTTGCTGGTATATGCTAAACTGAATTTTAAAGTCTCTAAATTTTGCTTTACATACAACTGTAAAATAAATTTGCAAGAGAAAATAAGATTACAAAAAGTAAATTCAAAAAAGAACATGGAACTGGAATGTAATAAAGACTGGGCGCACCCACTAACGACAAAAATATTTGTAAAAAGCTCTGCCACTCCTATAACAGGTATATCAGCATATATATCATATTACTGAATTGTGTTACCTGTATGCCTGTATCTGCTGCTGTCAATTTGAATTCAAAAATTGTAAGGTATTAATTGAATTGTGAGGTGTATATAAGAAGAAGAATTTAGATACAAATAGAGGCATCCTCATTCCATTCATAAAGTAAACCAGACTCCAAAGTTAGAACTAAATAATAATTTCTATATTCAGGTAATAAAATTGAATCTGCTGAAGTTGTAAAAGATATATTCGATGGAATTTTGCGAGAAATAGGTGAGTCGATTGAGTTAAGCTTCATTGATTATAGATGACAAAGAAATCATATTAGTGCAGAATTACACCAAACCCTAAAATTTCAAATTATTTCTATATCCAGTTAATGAAAGTGTTCATGAGGCTGTAGTGGAGAACATTTATGAAAGTGTTTTGCAAGAAACAGGTGAGTGAGTTGAGTCTGGCCTCATTCGTTATAGAAATACTGAACAGAAATATTATCGGGGCTACTAATACTATTTAGACCAGAAATGAACTTTATATTCAGAAAATGAAAAGAATGATGTAGAAGATATATTTCAAAGTATGTTACAAGAAACCGGTGAGTTAGTCAAGTTACGATTCATTGATTGTATAGCTGACAGAGATATACTATTAGTATAAATTTCATATGATTTCCACTTGTAATGTAAAAAGGAAATGATGAATGTATTGAACAATTTTAGTGAGAACATTCTACAAGAAACAGGTGAGTCGGTTGAGTCACAGCACACTAGTTATAGATGACAAAGCTGCCTTTAGTAACAAATCAGATTCCAAAGTTTATATGCTTTCTAATTTCAGGGAAGGAGAATGACATATCAATGGAAGATTTCTGTGAAAACTTTCTACAAGAAACAGGTGAGTCACAGCACACTAGTTATAGATGACAAAGCTGCCTTTAGTAACAGACCAGATCCCAAATTTTATATGATTTCTAATTTCAGGGAAGGAGAGTAATAAATCAATGGAAGATTTTAGTGAAAACTTTCTACAAGAAACAGGTGAGTCACAGCACACTAGTTATAGATGACAAAGCTGCCTTTAGTAACAGATCAGATCCCAAATTTCATATGATTTCTAATTTCAGGGAAGGAGAGTGATAAATTAATGGAGGATATTTGTGAAAACATTCTAGACGAAACAAGTGAGTTTATCGAGTTAAAATTCATTGATTGTATGATGGAAAAATAATACTAGTGCAAAAAGTGAACCAAATCCAGTAATAATTTTCATATGCAAGGATTAGAACGTAAGCGTAGAATATAGGCTATATATGCAAGAATTTGGTCATAAACAGGTTAGAAAAAATAGTTGTTCTTGTTCAAGCCTAAAATCTAGAATGCACTTCGCAAAAGTGTAGATATTCCATTCAGGTTTAGTACTGCACTCAAATCTTAATTTTTCTAATTTTCAACAACATTTCAGAAGCAGAATGTGATTATTTTATACCATCATCTTCTGATTCGTTGCTTGTGAGCCCACAGGAAGAAAAAAAGAGGAAAAGGAAAAAGTTGAGAAAAAATGCAACTGGGCAAAAAGGTTTGTCCAAATGACAGGGGATTAGTTGAAATAAAATTTATTCTCCAATCTGGAATACTTATGTTTTTAAAATTATAGGAGAAAATTAACGAAAGAAAGTCATTGTTTGTCCAAAATTCTCCAATTAATGTTCAACATGATAAAGCATTTTCCAAATTTCATATCTTTTAATGACATATTATTGCGTTGTATTTTTTCATTACAGGAAAGCAGCAGCAGGAAAATGAAGGAGATACACTGAAAAGGCCATGTGTGTATTGTGAGCAATTTCAGTCGAAACTCTCAAGACATATAGCTAGAATACACAGTGAGGAGCCCGAAGTCAAAGAAATACTAGGTCTACCTCCAAAACAAAGGAATTACAGGTTCGACCAACTACGAAAAAATGGAATGTACAAATACAATTTAAAATTGTTGAAAGAAGGCTGCCGCACCCAATCTCTGCTACGCGAACGCAGGGTTAAAAGTGACGAACTCAAAATGTGTGGATACTGTAAAGCCTTCGTTACGCGGAAATACTTTCATATGCATGCTAGAACATGTAGGTCCCAAAATGGGGAAATTTTGTGCAGCACGTTGCCACTGTCCGTGTTAACTGCAGAAGATACGGAGGATTTGTTATTTACCGACCTATTATCAAAGTTTAATAATGATGAACCAGGTCGATTGTGTCGTACGGACCATATGATCAAAAAAATAGGGAGAAGTCTCTATGAACATCATAAACGAAAACATGATAAAAAGACGGTACGGGAATCGGTTATGCTAAAAATGAGAACTTTGGCCACTTTGTTTATGGAATTCCGTAGATGTATGAAGAGTAAATTTGGCAACGATGTTAAAACAGAATCAATGCTTGACAGAAAGAATTTTTCAATGTTAGAGGAGGCAATAGACAATGTGACAACTTTGAATGAGGGTGGAATAAAAGCTGGGTCGCTGATTTTTATTGGCAATCTTTTAAAAAATGCCGTCAAAATAATGAAAGGGACATACCTTATTGAAGATGATGATGCAAAGGTGGAAACTATCGATAAATTTGCAGCCGTTCTCAATTTGCGCTGGACTAGTATGTTCGGCGATGCTGAGTATATCCTACAGAATAATCTCTAGACAAAGCAGCGACAACCAGGAATGCATTCAAACAGGGGTTTCCAGAACTATTCAAATATATCCGGATATCCAAGTATTCGAATACTTACTTTTTCGACTAATTTTTTTAATAATAACCGCTTTTGGTGGTCAGCAAGACATTTCGTTTTCGAGGCAAATCTTCAAACGATTTTCAGCTCGGTGTTTGCGTCTGTGCGTGCCTGCGCCGCAAATTGTTGGACACGACACTTTTGCATGCTAATGGGCATTGCCTCGATCGAATAGTGCAATGGGCTGTTTGAAATTGTGTTCCATACCATTTTTAGAAATATTATCTTGAGAACAGAGAACATTTCGTTTAAGTATTTATTGCTTGTGCTTTGTCTTCGAATAAAGTGTTGAGCGTTTCACCTATTCTTTGAATGAACAGTGAGTAATAGGGGGAAGTAAGTTGGGGAATTTTGTGGCTGCTGATGCGGAATAAACGCACTTGTGAAAAATGCATAGGCTGCCGTTATCCTAGCGAAAAAATATTAGACGATGAAAATCATAATATACAGTGTGTTAAAAAAGTTACGCAAAATTTTTTACGGTAAAATTTTTCGTCATGATAACTTAATTAAAAAAGTAACTATCAAAAAGCGTCAGTTGTAAAATGTTTAAATGGCATTTAACCGCAATTCAATACTGTGAAAAGGTGTCAGTCGTTAATGTTATATTCATATTAACTTCTGTTAATTTTGCGTTACTTTTTTAACACCCTGTATAATAATGAGAAAGATGCCCATGCTGCCATTAGCACTCAAGATTTCTGTTTTTGGAATAAATATCACTGGCTCTCTTCACATGGGTGGTCACTATCTTGCAGCGCCAGGAGATGGGAGAGGTGTCGGGAGTTTTGACATCCACATTTGACCTCTTCAGGGGAATGAAGTCTCTGTCTACATAGAAAGTTGGTTATGAAATAAAAAAGAGTGCCTTCGACTGTATCTCCAGATAAGTAGTTATAGATTTACTGGACTGCTTAATGATTACATCGATGACAGAAGAATATTATCATATAATGAACGTTCTATATAAATTCTTCTTTTTTTTCTCCTGTGTTTTAGGTGATTAATGCTTTTTTTCTGACGGGAGGCTTTTAATACATATAGTAAATGTAATATGAAAGATGCTAATCTCCTCCGTCAACGTCAAAATTATTTGATTTATCAACCGATTGGGTGTTATGGCATCACATTTTCCAGTTTCCTTGAGCTTTTCATGCAATTTTTATTCAATAATTTTTAAATTATTTTATGACATCAGAATATGTAAGAATATTTATTATGAGGTCATAATGAATTTCTCCTGAAAACACGTATGATGTCACCATGAATTTTTGACGTTATTTGAAGTACATAATATAACGTCCAATAGCGTCACAACCTTACCATTCTGAAATGTTCAAATCGAAAAAGGTAACTAGTAATATACTGTCAGGACTTTTTTGCATTCCATTCGGTTGAATACATTACGTAAAATTTAAACATCGTACAGTTAAAATGCATACTAGAAACAGTTGGTTTGCTGTGTAATCTATTCTAATGTAATACTACGTATTTGGAAGTTCAAAAGATCATTTTTAAATACCAGTTGACTCACTCATATTTATATTCGTAAAAACGCAAGAATTATTAATAGTTCTATGCCGCAAGTCATGTTTTAAGCCAATCATGTTTAGGTCTTTCGTTCTCCATTTCAAAGCTTTACCCCAGGTTTAACATAATTTTATTTAGTTAATTTTATTATAGTCACCAAAACACAAAATACTACATTCCATGAGAAAAAGTTTCTCAACTTACCAGGTCGGGCTATCGAACTTAAATCTGTGGGGATTTAAGTTTTTATACGCCGCCGATTCTTATTCTCGTTCCCGACTTGTTAATTGGGTTCGGTTTTAAGTTAATTATTCAGGTGATGGCATGGCTGAAAACCATAAAGTACCACAAGACCAAGGTATTGTTTTATCTTGCTCATTCAAATACTTTTAATTGGTTATACACTACATTTTCGCTGGACAACATAATGATTATGACGAAAATTGCGTTTTCGAGGCCATAGCCATCATGAAGCGATATTTTCGAATTTTAGGCCTACAAATTATGAAAAAGTACTGCATAGAATGATTATGTTTCAATTATTTTCTATATACAACGAAAAAAACGACCTCGGATATGCAGAATTAGGAGGATTGATGAAACCCTAGTTACTTCGATCTCCGAAAGTTACTATCTTAACCCGATTTATTTGACAATTTCAAAATTCTAATTTTTTTTCTAGCGATCCAATCTAATTGAGTGATATATTGTTGATTGCATCTCTGAAATACCAATCGAATACTATAACCATTTTTGGTTTTGGGTGACTATAACAGAAGAAATGACCAAAAAACGGCAAAAATTCTTTTTTTTTAAACCCAAATTTTTCAAAAACTTTTGGATGAATTCAAATTATTATGATATTTTTAGTTTAGTTTTGTCGAAATATATCCAAATATGCTAAAAAAAATTATCGAATTCCAATAGAACAAATTTTCCATTTTAGGGTCAAAGGTCAAATTGGTATTTAAAACCACTCACTGAAGATATAGATACCAAATTTCCCCATCGACTGATGCAAATGTTTCCAAATTTGGCTAAATGGTACATTCCGCGAGAAAAGTTTTTCAACCTACCAGATCGGCCTATCGAACTTAATTCTGCGGGGAATTAAGTTTTCATACGCCGCCGATTCCTCTTCTCGTTCATGGCATGGTAATTGGGTTTGGTTTCAAGTTAATTATTCAGGTGATGGCATGAATGAAAAGCATAAAGTACCACAAGACAAGGTATCGTTTTATCTTGCTCATTCAATTACTTTTAATTGGTTATACGCTCCATTTTCGGTTGACAACATAATGATTATAAAGAAAATTGCGTTTTCGAGGCCATAGCCATCATGATGCGATATTTTCGAATTTCAGGCCTAAAAATTATGAAAAAGTCGTGCAATAAAATGATTATGTTCAACTATTTCTAAATACAACAAAAAAAACGATCTCGAACATGCAGAATTAGGAGGATCGATGGAACCCTAGTTACTTCGATCTCCGAAAGTTACTATCTTAACCCGATTTATTTGACAATTTCAAAATTCAAATTTTTTTTCTAGCGATCCAATCTAATTGAGTGATATATCGTTGATTGCATCTCTGAAATACCAATCGAATGCTGTAACCATTTTTGGTTTTGGGTAACTATAACAGAAGAAATGACCAAAAAACGGCAAAAATTCTTTTTTTTAAAACCCAAATTTTTCAAAAACTTTTGGATGAATTCAAATTATTATGATATTTTTAGTTTAGTTTTGTCAAAATATATCCAAATATGCTAAAAAAAATTATCGAATTCCAATAGAACAAATTTTTCATTTTGGGGTCAAAGGCAAGATGGATATTTAAAACCACTCGCTGAAGATATAGATAAAATTTCCCCATCGACTGATGCAAATGTTTCCAAATTTGGCTAAATGGTACATTCCGCGAGAAAAGTTTTTCAACCTACCAGATCGGCCTATCGAACTTAATTCTGCGGGGAATTAAGTTTTCATACGCCGCCGATTCCTCTTCTCGTTCATGGCATGGTAATTGGGTTTGGTTTCAAGTTAATTATTCAGGTGATGGCATGAATGAAAAGCATAAAGTACCACAAGACAAGGTATCGTTTTATTTTGCTCATTCAATTACTTTTAATTGGTTATACGCTCCATTTTCGGTTGACAACATAATGATTATAAAGAAAATTGCGTTTTCGAGGCCATAGCCATCATGATGCGATATTTTCGAATTTCAGGCCTAAAAATTATGAAAAAGTCGTGCAATAAAATGATTATGTTCAACTATTTCTAAATACAACAAAAAAAAACGATCTCGAACATGCAGAATTAGGAGGATCGATGGAACCCTAGTTACTTCGATCTCCGAAAGTTACTATCTTAACCCGATTTATTTGACAATTTCAAAATTCAAATTTTTTTTCTAGCGATCCAATCTAATTGAGTGATATATCGTTGATTGCATCTCTGAAATACCAATCGAATGCTGTAACCATTTTTGGTTTTGGGTAACTATAACAGAAGAAATGACCAAAAAACGGCAAAAATTCTTTTTTTTAAAACCCAAATTTTTCAAAAACTTTTGGATGAATTCAAATTATTATGATATTTTTAGTTTAGTTTTGTCAAAATATATCCAAATATGCTAAAAAAAATTATCGAATTCCAATAGAACAAATTTTTCATTTTGGGGTCAAAGGCAAGATGGATATTTAAAACCACTCGCTGAAGATATAGATGCAAAATTTCCCCATCGACTGATGCAAAATTGTTTGAATTTGGTTCAAAATTTGCTGAGGTATGAGTGCTCGAATTTTATTTTGTGACTCCGCTAATTTCAACAAGCCGTCGTATCTCTGATAATATAATCCACAAATACAGCACGAAAACGTGCGTTTCTATTCCTCACCATTTGGTTAAATTCATATTCTAAACGCATAGCTACATTAATACAATGGTTCAACTATTACTATAATAAAATTATTTACTTCATTTCTAATTGCAAATTAGGTATCCTTTTTCACAATATTGAGTTATTCTAACCACCGTTTCCGGGGCTTTTTTCAGATCCAGGCGTGAAATAAACCATGCAGAAGTTATTAACTAATATTTGCCCAGCGTTATAATGCAAGTTCGCATCCGCTTGTTTGCAGCGTCCTCGCTTCATGTGTCAGTTAGATCATATCTCTTTAGCTTAGCATAGTTTTGTGATATGTAAATACCTACTGAAGAAGTGGTTGCATTTTTCATCTATCACTTCAATTAAATTAATATTCAGAGGCTTGTTCCGAGAGAAAACGAACAAGAAAATATTAGGTGTACAGGCGAACAGTTTGGCACTGTTAAAAACTTATTTTGTATTTCCGTGTTCAGAGCTTTGTTAAGGTGCAATATGATAATTAAATCAAGGGCAAGCTTCAAATTGTGGTGCTATTATTGTACTATTTCTCAAAATTACACATATTCACCAGCCGTTTCGTGCACTTGGAATGTCTTGAAGCTGCACCAGCCGTTTCGTGCACTTGAATGTCTCGAAGCTGCACCAGCCGTTTCGTGCACTTGAATGTCTCGAAGCTGCACCAGCCGTTTCGTGCGCTTGAATGTCTCGAAGCTGCACCAGCCGTTTCGTGCACTTAGAATGTCTCGAAGCTGCACCAGCCGTTTCGTGCGCTTGAATGTCTCGAAGCTGCACCAGCCGTTTCGTGCACTTAGAATGTCTCGAAGCTGCACCAGCCGTTTCGTGCACTTGGAATGTCTCGAAGCTGCATCAGCCGTTTCGAGCACTTGTGATTTTGCAAGATCACCTACGACATTGTAATATGATAATATATGCAAAATTACTACCCGCCAGGACTGGTCTCACGACGATGCCCAAAGTAGAAGTTCTGGCCGTACCAAATGACTATCAAAGTCGTAATCTACCGACGGCCAGTACGGAAAGCAACAGTAACGATCCCATAATTTCCATACAACCGCATAGCACATGACTATGCACTCCGAATCGAATAGTAAATTATTCGAATCGGTTTAAAGCAAAATTTCGAATCGCCGCCATTTCGTTTTTTCTTTCCGCCAATGGTCGAGGTGAAGTAACCAATTTTTTTTTTATGAAAGCCATTTTTTTTATTCAATACAATTCTGACATATGACTATTTTCTGAAGTGAGTTATTGATAAATAAGTGATTCACATTGTGTGTGAACGCTCAGCAATCTTTCTTAGTAATTTATTCATGTTTCAGTAATAAATTTGTTGGCAGGACCACAATAAAAAAAGTAGCATAGAATTACATAGCTTCCATAGACTCCCTTAGTATTCGACATTCGATTCTGAAATCATCAGGTATTCAAAAATGCCCAGCCCTACACATGAGAAAAGACCTCAAACACAGGCGCAGTCAAGGTGACATACTTTAGGAATAAACAAATCAGCTTCCATCACTATAACTTTATTGGAAAACAATCACATCGATACTGCAAAATCAAACGAGGCTGTGAAGACGTGGGTATCCACATCAGGCTCCATGTCCGGATGACAATGAAATCTCCCTTTTCATTGGGAGAATGTTCAGTCAACTCTAATGCTCCTAGATATCGCCAGAAATTGGACTTGGATCACTATAAGGAGAGTGTGGAACTCTAACCTTATGTTAACAAAAGAAAATAACATACACCCACTTCACAGCCTCAGAACGAAAAGAAAAAAGTTCACAAAGCACACAAAACTATTAATTGAATCTTTCTAGTCGTGTTTGATATTTTTCTCGAAATTTCTTTCGCTCATTGAACAATTTTGTGTGAACTATCCGGACTCTCTGGTTCATATCAGTGATGGATTCTAATATGTGATTCTCTTCAAGGAACAACTTTATCTGAGCTAGACCTAAAAAAAAATGAAGTATATTACCATCTTGACAAGTCCACTTGGACATTATGCAAAGTTTGTTAGAAAAGGCTTGGCAAGGAAAGAGCTAGACTAAATCAGAATTTTATTGCTGCCAACTGCACTATTCGGTAGATAACTTGCTGATAAATTTAAATACATACTTGGCAGATTCCCTTTATTCCCCTCTTGAGAAGTGTCCTCAATAACATCTTTGAAATTATTTTTTAATAACTCACTTTCTTGAGGCTGCCATTTTACATACTGTCGAGCTATAAAAAGGTAAACTAACTTTATACGATTTGCATCTACGGAGTTCAGTAGTATAGTTATTAAAAGGCTACCTTTTCTCACAAATTTGACGGTTTGCCCAGTTTCTGTCCTACCTTCGTCAATGAACTCATTTACTAGCTTTGTTTGCTTCGCCACACCACCTGTACATTTGACATATTATTATTAGAAAATGAAAATATATTTTAAATCATTAAAACATATGCTACGGATCTCACTTATATTATCTGAGCCTGCCAAATAATTTGTATTTGCCACTTCCTTTTCTGTAGACTCTGAGCATGCTTCCTTTTCTGTCGACTCCGAGCATGCTTCATTTTCTGTCGACTCCGAGCATGCTTCCTTTTCTGTTGACGCTGAGCATGCCATAGAATCCTGTCTTCCTGAATAAACAGAAAAACGATTACTTGAAACTCCATAAAATAAATACGTAAAAACCCACGACAACAGTAAATAAAGTCAGATTGTAGAAATGGGCTTTCCCAGACTGGAAAACCAAGTGACTGATAGAATGAGGTTAATAAAAAAATACAAAGCACTTTTACCAGAAGATAAGCTCATCCCATCAATGTCAGCAAAATATTTTCCAACTTGAGTGATTTCCTCAATGGCCAAAGGACACTGGTACACATTTTTGTTGATATCTGAAGAATGTCCCATATGTCTGAAAAAAACTTGCTGTTGTTGTTCTGGAATATCGAGGCACGCATAGAGTGTTGATGCCCGGTGTCGCATTTTAGTTGCTGTAACAACTGCTTTCACACCAGCGGCATCTACCACTTCCTTCGTTGCATGCCATCCACTTGCATGCTCCATGGACAAACGTGTGCTGGCAAAGATGAAACGGTTTTCTTTGTGAACATCACTGTTTTTGCGAATATCTAGGTTTACTAGAAAGTCAAGACCAGCGACACAGTCGATGGGAACAAGAACAGGGACAAGGTGATTGTTTCCTTTACCACCCTGGTACATTACTTTGAATTTTTTCATCAACTCTTGGTCGACAGATGATGACAAGAATTGAATTCTTTGGGTATCAATCCACTTATCATTTTTAGCATTTTCCCAATCCTTCATAAGAAGACGACTGGGTTCACCACCTCTCCTTGCATTGAAGAGCGTGAGGCGTGACATCACAAGATTACGAATAACAATAAAATTTTCCTGGCATGGTAAAAAATATTCATCACTCAAGCGGGATGCTAACGTATTTACAGTGTATGTTTTTATTTTGGCGACATCCTGTTCATTAGGAAGCAGTTCTGGTTGTCGCAGCTTGGTCTGGCGATTATGCTGCAGAATGTATTCAGCATCGCCGAACATGCTAGTCCAGCGCAAATTGAGAACGGCCGCAAATTTATCGATAGTTTCCGCCTTCGCATCATCATCTTCAATAAGGTATGTCCCTTTCATTATTTTGACAGCATTTTTTAAAAGATTGCCAATAAAAATTTTTGATCCAGCTTTTATTCCACCCTCTTTTAAAGTTGTCACATTGTTTATCGCCTCCTCTAACATTAAAAAATTTTTTCTGTTAAGCATTGATTCTGTTTTAACATCGTTGCCAAATTTACTCTTCATACATCTACGAAATTCCATAAACAAAGTGGCCAAAGTTCTCATTTTTAGCATAACAGATTTCCGCACCTCAGTCTTTTTATCTTGTTTTCGTTTATGCCGCTCAAAAAGACTTCTCCCTATTTTTTTGATCATATGGTCCGTACGACACAATCGACCTGGTTCATCATTATTAAACCTTGCTAATAGGTCGGTAAATAGCAAATCCTCTGTATTTTCTGCAGTTAACACGGACAGTGGCAACTTGCTGCAAAAAATTTCCCCATTTTGGGACCTACATGTTCTAGCATGCATATGAAAGTATTTCCGCGTAACGAAGGCTTTACAGTATCCACACATTTTGAGATCGTCACTTTTAACACTTCGTTCGCATTGAAGAAATTGATTGTGACGATTTTCTTTCAACATTTTTAGATTGTATTTGTACATTCCATTTTTTCGTAGTTGGTCGAACCTGCGATTCCTTTGTTTTGGAGGTAGACCTAGTATTTCTTTGACTTCGGGCTCCTCACTGTGCATTCTAGCTATATGTCTTGAGAGTTTCGACTGAAATTGCTCACAATACACACATGGCCGTTTGGGTTTCTTTTTTTTCTGCATCTGTCCTGTAATGATTAAATATGATGTTATGGTATTGTGTGTATAAACTAAAAAATAATAAAAAAACAGTCTATTCTGATAATTCAAAAAAGCTTCCCGATTTAGATTATTTAATAACACAACATGGCTGGGTGGCATTGAAGAAGCTTACTTAATTAGTAACTATCGAAGATATTCAAAAGAAAACTGTGTATCAAACTTACAATGTCAACATCAAAAAGTTTCATCATGCCATACATGGAAGTATCTTTTGTAGCTTAAGTCTGCTGCCCTGATCGATAAACCCCCAGGTTTTAATTTTTTATACACTGTATGGTGTAAAATACTGTACATGTAACAAATTGAAAATGCACAAAAATGTTTTTCAGCAAAACAAAGTTTCATATGCACCTTCAAACATGCCCATTTCTTTAAATTATTTATATTGGTTTATGGGGATTCCAGATTGAAATTTTTTATTCAGATTTGTCTGAATCATTTACACAAACCTTTTTGTGTAATACTTTCTCTTATCTTTTTTCTTTCCCTCTTTCTGTGCTCACATGGCCTCAGGTGTAACAAATCAGGCGATGATTCTAGTGAAGAATCAGACTCCGTTTCTAAGAATACATAGTACATTAAATGATTATGATTCGATGTGATACTAAAACATGACAGATTCTCATACCATTCCAAACAAAAGTGGCATATAGATATTGTCACTTGGTCAGCCTGGCCATAAAATACAATATTTGTGAAATTTTTCTAACCTGTTACTCGGAAAATGTTTTCATGTGAATCTTCCTGTACTGGATCATTTAGATGTCCTGGAATTTAAAATCACATGAAAGGTTCAGTCTGGTCTAATTTTACCAATTAACCAGTCTCTTGCATAATTAAAAATCATATGAAATTTATGCTAATACAGTAATAGTATTTCTCTGTCAGCTATACCTGTATACCAGGGCTACTAAACTACCTTTGCTAAAAGTATGGGTACTCCTGAAGTATGCGCAGCAAGATGTCGCATAACCTGAACCCTAACCTGAGTTCAGGTTGTGCGCCATCTTGGTGCACATACTTAAGGAGGTCCGAAGTCTGTATACAAAACTTGAAAATTTCTGGGGTCCGGCCTGGTCAGAAAATGTACTTCATACTGCACAAAACTATATTTTAATGACTCTATCTTTTCGGTTAAAAAGTTAAGAAACACGAGTTGTGTAGAACTGAGTGACCGCAAAATATTTACATCCTTTTACATAACCAAAATTAAATGGAGACAATCCTCCAAAATAAAAATAAAATCAGACGCAGTCGGAATCAAATACTTGAATGGTCCGGATTCGGACCGCAGTCTGACAGTTGAGTAGCCCTGAGCTATACAATCAATGAACCGTAACTAGAACAACTCACCTATTTCTTGTAGAAAGTTTTCACTAAAACCCTCCATTGATTTATCACTCTCCTCCCCTGAAATTAGAAATCATATAAAATTTAGAATCTGATCTGTTACTAAAGGCAGCTTTGTCATCTAGAACTAATGTGCTGTGACTCAACCGACTCACCTGTTTCTTCTAGAATATTGTCACTAAAATTTTCCATTGATTTATCACTCTTCTTCCCTGAAATTAGAAATCATATAAAATTTAGAATCTGATCTGTTACTAAAGGCAGCTTTGTCATCTAGAACTAATGTGCTGTGACTCAACCGACTCACCTGTTTCTTCTAGAATATTGTCACTAAAATTTTCCATTGATTTATCACTCTTCTTCCCTGAAATTAGAAATCATATAAAATTTAGAATCTGATCTGTTACTAAAGGCAGCTTCGTCATCTATAACTAATGTGCTGTGACTCAACCAACTCACCTATTCCATGTAGGATGTTTATTTTGAATAGCGTAGTCAGGTGGGGGTTAGGATTGACACGTGCAAATATTGTTATTCTACACCCACCAGAAGTACGTTAAGTACGAAACCACACGAGACACCAAGACCTTGATAACTACCGGTATAGGTATTAAAGCAGGGCTTGACAGAATAGTCTAATCATAATGGAGAAATGACAATGCTGCAATGCCTGAATGCAGCAGTACCGATATACCTTAGTCACATACCGGGTATCTATTTTCTTACTTCAGTAACGGTACTGTATCATACTGCTCTAAGTCTGAGATATGTTTAAATAAATTAAATTGACAATATCAGAATTCAGAAATTTGAACACCCACCTTTCTGAGAAGTTGCATACAACTTTATTGTGATTTTTTTCTTAGCCTGTACGGGGGTCCAGTCCATATCGGATTCAATGTCCATTTTCAATATTATTTTCTATAATTTATATTAGTTAGATAGTATTTCTACTTGCAAATCTATATATCATAAAAAAAATGCAGATTTAGAACTACTGAACTAGGCTATGTCAGTATGTGAATCATTGGATTTTCTCTTTTTACCGTATTCTGTAGAATGTTTGAAATACTGATAGGCCTATTAAGTCAGTACCCTGTACGGTACCGATTGCCAGTGTACCATACACAGGTACCGGTGTAAAGATACGGTAGGCTATATCAAACTTCAGAAGTTACCGGTACCGGTACCTACCGTACCAGTACCATCCGAGATATTCAGATATTTGGGACCCAGCTCTTGCGAACACGACGAACTGACAATGCTACGGTACGGTACCGGTATAAAAACTCAAGTACCTGTGTACCGGTACCGCGATCAAAAAAGCAGCCGCAGTCTGACGGTTAAGACTGAAATATGACATTTATTCCGGGACGAGGAAAGTCAGCTTCATAATAATACAGTACCGGTACCGGTAAACACGGCCCCCCGTCCATTCAGCCATTTCATGTTCTGCTGAAGTCTGTATCTCCGGCTTTGAAATAATTATTCCAACCTACCGCTACACATTTCAGCGCTAAAATCGCATAATTCAGAACCCAACCCGAACAGCAGGACCCGACAAAGACAGAAACGAGCACGCAGGATGAGTAAGACGTCTACGGTGCAGGCTTGGCGGCACGCGCATCTATCACGTGACATGGTATATTTTATCGAAAATTTGTGAGAGCTTCCAGAATTTGACTTCACGTTTATGATCGATATCGGACGTAAAAACCATAATTAGAGTAGAAATATGACACACAAAAAAAAAATCCATCTGTAAGCAAATAATTGGGAAGATATATTGCGTCATGTTCAAAAAAATACGAGAAACAAGATAGTCACCCATATAGTGGTTTATTCCATACCACGAATATAGATCATCAACCTACCAATTATTATTTTAACAGTTCCGTCGACCGGGTAGACTGCTTATGTTTTGTCAACTACATTATCATAGCTTGAAGCATCTGATGAACACCCCATCGTTTACCTAAATTTCTTAAATGATGAGAACCGGACTTGGTAAAAATTTGGTAGACCGGTATATGTCGCCCTAAATTTTTGGTCTCCCAAATATAGCATTTTTAAACCCCAAATGTCGACCAACCAGGGCAAATAGGCTTATATATATATATATATATATATATATATATATATATATATATAATTGAGTATCCCGGCTTGTTATTGACGTTCACAATAAAGATAAGATGAACCTAAACAACATTATGGTTGGGAAACTGTTTACAATCTTCAATTTTTTCTGGCGATCTCGAAAAAAAAACGTTCATAAATTTTTTCCAATATATATATGAGAATATGGCATGAAAAATTATCGCATAACCCAAATTTCTAATATTATTTTAGAATAGCGTTTGAAAAAGAAAAAAAATTTTAGACATTTTTTCTTTAAAAAATTTGTATTTTCATTACATCAACAGATTCATTATTTATCACTTTTGGTATACGCCCTCGGTATTTACAATTTTATATTGAACTCAGGTTTAAAATCGGAAGATTGCGTTTTACATAATAATCTAAGACAAACATTTACTAAATAAGACAATGAATTTCGTAAATATTGCTAATCCGATACGATGTTATCTTTGTCGTTCCAAAGATCATTTTTTAAACATGCCAGATGTAACATTTGCATTTTATATTTAGGCGCTCTATATATACATACAAATGGGTGGAATGTTTTGGAAATGCAGATTTAAGTGACTCACTTTTCCAACGTCGTTAACATGACTTCATCAGATAAGGCATCGCCAAGTAAGTACATTTATTTTTATACCATCTCGTAAGCAAACGAAATAAAGAAAAATGATAAATAGCATTCGATAAATTTATCGATAAGGCTTTCAATTCTCGAATCCAAAACATGTTTTTATCTGGTACAGAGTGTAGATGGGACAGATGAAATGGATTTGCGAAGCAGATTATTGTTATATATATGTAAAATAGATATTTGAATTACAATATTAAAGTATTTTCCCATCACTTGTATAAAATATAAAGAGTAAAATTAATGTTTTTTTTGTTACTAACATTTATTACTAGATTTTAAAATTCGAAAGATTTTTAATTCAATACACTCACCACATAGACAAGTGGCCATAGGGGCTAGGCGCGAAAAATATACTTACCTAAGTGCCCCGTTGAGGTACAGAAATGTTTCTGTTGTAGAGCTACAACGAATAAAATTTTAGTTGTATGTTTTACCTAGAGGCCTCAGCTTTAAAATTGTATATACTTTTTATAATAAATTATGTCTCTAAACAATTATTTTCAGGTAGCTATCTTGTCAGTAGTTGAACTATCAAGTTCCTGCTGAAGAAACGCTCAACGGATATCTTATGTTATTACAGTCAACATGTAACATACGTGATGTAGGCTAAGTACGACTTTTTATGATAGATTTACAAATGTTTATTTTGACAGTTTTACGCCGTTATTTCTTGTATTTATATACCTATATAAGCTGATTTTTCAATTTTCTGTTCATTTTGCACCCGCCCAAAATTGATATGCTGAATAATAATGACTATGCGTAGTAGAGCATCCAGCAAAAGGTATATATATAAGAGAACAACGCAATAGATGTACACACAGTTTCACAGGTTTTTGTTCATTCTCGATTTCTCTTGACAGCGAACAAAGCGTTTCTTGCTATTAGAAAGTCAATTACGGATGATAAGATTTTTTATGAGATCAGCTAATTATGCAATTCTTAATTAACAAGTATTAGTGTTAAGTACAAATTCAACTATGGCCAAATTTTATGATTTTCTATTTTTTTTTAGGGAAATATATATTTTGCATTGTGTGCGAAATGTATGGCACATTATTGAACTGTTTTTTTTTTTGTGATAAAGCCCCTATTTTCCGAACAATAACATTTAATCAGAGTTTTCAACCAATATCTTGTTATATTGTTTAAATAACAAGTAAGTCTGAAACGCGATAATGAATTGGTAATAACTGTGAACTATGATTATTAATCTATTGAAAGACTAAATTCATAAAAGTCATATTGTTATAACAGCGACTATAAAAATTCTAAAATCTTTTCCATATTGAAGAGTTGTTCTCAGTAGAAAACACTGGACAATTTGACGCAGAAGATATAAAGAATGGCCAGAAATAGTTTCATTCTATTCTTAATATTAACAGCAATATGCATCAAATCAGGGACATGTCAAACATGTTCTGATGGAATTTATGAGCAGCAGCTTGACTGGACAAGGGTAAGAAAAAACAATAATTTTTTTTTTCATAAATTAACCAATTCATAGGCAATGGAAGATTTCATGAACATAGTTGAGCGAAAACTTTTGTACTTTACAAACATAAAATTCTCACTTCCCAACGAACACCATGAAAGATACAAAACAGTTGTTGCTAGCGACAGTGGTTGGAAAATTGGCTAAAATCGTTTTAACGGTACCTAAGCGATGTTTGTATCACGTTTGAGATCTTGAGCTATGACTATGAGAAATGATTATTTGGTTAAAATGGCAAACGTGGACTAAGCGATGTTTATATCACGTTTGAGAGCTTGAGCTACGAGAAATGATTTTTTGTGAAGGATGGCAAACGTGGATTCGTACTGTAGAAAATAATGGCCTAAATGAAACATCCCGAGGGAAACGTAAAGGTAAATTCACGGTCATAAAGCAAAATACCATCATAACTCGTTATATTTTTGTTTTTCTATATCCAGCTGTCAAAAATAAAACTGTGGTACGATGTTATTGAAATACCGGCACCGGCACTGCCGATTGACTGTTTCAATTGGGGAAAACTGCACGTCGTATCTGACGGTATCATAGTGGATGTGCATGCTTATGTTGAAGGGTGAGTATTTCCACACGGTGTACAATTATATATACAGTTTTCTTAGAAATATGATAATCAATGTTCCTGTTTACAAGTCTTGTCGTCCTTTCTAGTAGAGTTTAACTTGTGTAATATACACTCCTAAATTTTTGTTGTTTGTTTTCAAACATTCGTTACGAATGAAGTTTTACACAAGCAAGTATGTATATATATTCCTGGTATGCTCACAGAGAACTCAAATCGTTCCGGTTAAACGCGCGCTGCAAAAATTTTACTACATCTTGATAAAAATAAAATATCTATTTTAAAGCGATCCACTCGCTTAATTAGGCATTACATATATTCAGATTATGGGCTTGTTAACATGGAAATAACATTTTTTCAGAGCGTCAGAAGAGCAGACTTTGTATACACATTATATTCGCGTTGAGAACGGAACCTACAGAATAAGCGAAAAAAATAGTAAGTTTTTTCTTATACTTGTCTACACACAAATACTACATAAAACTTCTTGGAAGTTCTTATGGCGATTCGTGGAGTACAAAAGGTTTGCTATTTCGTTGCTATTTTTGATTTGCTATTTTATGTGTCGCGTCCCAAAACTGGGTCGCCTGAAAATACTTCTGGCCGTTTATTTTCACAACAAAAAACAATAGTACAGTAATTGTAAATTATATTAAGTATATCAAAGATTAAAAACCACACCACGATTTCAAAAAATCGTTGATAAAAAACGAAAGTGTTCTCACTTTGAAACAATTCCTCGTAGGAGAAATATATGAAGAAATCATTGTTTTGTATGTGGTAGTTTAATTTGACTCCATGCAAGCACTACATGCCGTGTTGGATTTCAAAATGAGTTTTCACAAACTTTTTTTATTAAATTTGGGTTTCTTCAAAAAAAGGTTGGGAACCACTGGTCTGAACTAAAGCACTATTAAGTGCTTGCAAGTATATTGTTGTCGCTTCAAACGTATCAGCGTTTGCCTTTTAGAAAAACCAAAATATTCCTATGGAAAAGTTATCTATGCTTTTATTTCGAAGAAAGCTTCACTCACGTAGACAAATTGACACGATAATTTTGATTTAATTGACTTTTTGTAAGTTTGCCACGACTCAATCTATTTTTTGTTTAGTTTTAAGACGCAAATAAAAAGAAAAATTTATCAATCGCATATCAGTTCAAAATCTTTAGTTCAGAATATATATTTAAAATATATTTTTGAAAAGTCAAGGTCGTATGGTTTATGATTGTCCTACATATATCAAGAAATATTTTGTCGTTCACAGAGCACTCGTTTCTGAAAAAGAGCAGAAAAGTTCTCTCTCATATTTCAACTCCGGCTATGCTTGAAGAATTCGACCAATGTGAGTAGTATTGAGATGTTGATTTAACAATTTTTTTTTCGTTCAACGTTTTCTCCTGTCGGTGTGAAATATTGTAAAAACTGATATATATATTCAGCATCCACTAGACAAACTAAAATTTAATGTATTCGATATGAGACGCAAAAGTCAATACCGATTCTAATACCAAAATATGATCTTGACCAGTAATGGCTAATATGTAAAATAACACAGCACAGCAAAATTCTATATGAATACTACAAAAATCTAACGATACTCTGATAACTTTATTTAACGGTACAACGAGAAGTTTTGTTAAAATTCATTATTGTTATATTAAACATTTCTCAAACACTGGTAAACACAGAACAGAAAATTAACCAAAAATGTTTTCAAAAATTCTTTTTTATTATTTTGCAGTTGTGAAGGGAATGTACTACTTGAGATTTCACTTCTTTACAGACTATGAAAATTATTTTCTCATTGTTTCTTGCGTACCTGAATTGGGTAAGTAGCAATGTCGGAAATTGAGTACATATAGGGAGTATGATACTTTCAGTAGGTTCATATAAATATCTATTAAGCCTCATTTTTGGTTTTAGTGTCTCATTTCTTTGTGACTCGAGATCACTAAAACTCATCAACTCTTCACTTTTCTAGGCACAATTGGATGGGTGAAATTTAGCAAGCCTGTTCCTGATGGGGAAATGGTTGCAAAAGCTTGGAGTAAATTTTCTGAAATTGGTGGTATATCAAGAATCACTTGGAAGACGAAATGTACGAAAAGAGAATACTAAGATAGAAAAAGATGTAATTTGTTGTTGTTAAAAATAATTGGAAATATTAAAAATTAATTGTTTGAATTTTGATATAAATCACTATACACACGAAAAAGTTTAAATAATGGTTTATTTAGCATTTAGTAAAGAATTTTTTGTGTGGTTATGTCTTATGCTATCACATAGACTTCTTTATTTTTCATTGTGAATTTAGTCGTTAAAAATATAAAGCGTACAATTGTATAAAAATAAACCAAATTTATTTGACGAATCAAGCCTAATTATTTTCATGTTATAGGAATGGTATCGACGGTATATTAAAAAAAAAGGTGAGTTTGACTTAAGCGGTTTGAGTTCGTAGCAAAGGTCAAGTATAAGCTGGTATCCAGTTACCATTACCAATAAATTTTAGAAATTTTTGAAATCGATACCCGTTCGCCTAGGGCTATCCGTCAGCAGCAATCCTTAAGAATAGTCAGTACGGAGTGAAAAAAAAATTGTACGGCGTTATTGCATTGCAAATACGATAGCCCTGATAATGAATCTGGGGAAAGACGTGAAAGGAAGAATTTCTTTTCGCAGGATCTCTTGTAAAGTGCACGCTTTCTTTATTTGTGTCGATAGAAATTGTTACAGTCTAACGAAATAAAAAATTAAATAAATAACGATAATAACTAAATAGGGTTGATATTTGTCTACTTACTAGACAACGCAGCCAAGCGAAGTCTTTATTTGGTTCTTGCTGTATCAACTTAATTAATGTTATAATTTTTATCCGACTAAGCAGACTTTAACATAAAGCGATAAACACCAATACAGTATATATTTCAAATTTTCGAGTATAGATTTCGGCAAAATGAATACTTCGATAACTATCATAAATATAGTTGTGATTTTTATTGTTACTATTGGCGTAATTGAATCCAAAATTTGTCCGCATGGAAAAGCAGGAGAAGAAATCGATTGGGCAAAGGTTTGTGGATATAACATATTACCTTATAGTTTTGAAAATATTCTCAAAATGCGTGTTTGTACGTTAATATAACTAATCTTTGGACGTGTTTCTCGCCTGTGAAATGCCCGTATATCTCAGGATAAAGTTGGCTTGTTGTAATTGTAGTCTTAAGCGTTGTGTAAGTAAAGCAATACAAGGTAGAAGACGAAACAATTTCGTACAATTTTATTTTAAGTCAAGCTTCGCAACTGGGATTTACCGGGCGATTTAAAATGTATTCCACTTCAAGAGGTTGTACTTAGGTGTAACGCATAATATAGGACCAATGAATTTTAGAATACTAATTTTAGTTACAATAAAGACAAAATCGAAGATGTTTTTAACGTATTGTTACAAAATCTCGGTTTACTTAAGCTTGCAAAGAAAAAGAAGACCTTTTACGACGTCCTTGATATACCGACACCAACAACTCCTTTTGACTGTTACAACTGGAAGAATATTCGAGTGACGAATGATGGCTTCATTTCTGAAGTGCATAAATATATAGAAGGGTAGATATAAGTATAATGATTTTCTGCGGGTTGGAAATTTCTCCTTGAATAATAATACTTTCTTCCTATTGAATAATACTCTTTTTGTTTTGGAAGAATGCCAGGTGAATCAACGATGAATGCTCGCTACGTTTATACTGGAAATGGTACATATAGTTTAAGTTCGAAAAATGGTGAGTTTTTGTTACATGGGGCTCTATATTTCACCCAACATTTTGCAATTTCAACGAATATTGCGACAATATCTAAGATATCTTTCCGACAAACCGATGGTCACTACTCGGGTATGGTCGGTATTCGTATCGATGTGGATTTTACGGCGGTGTGGTTCGATTTGCAATTTCGACTTAACGCTTTCGAATGCCCAGATAACGGATTCGAGTGTCGCATATATATTGGAATATCATGGTAATATGTTTAAGCATTGCTCTCATTGATATTCTATTAGACTTCTCATTTCTGAAAAAAGGCCAATCTGCTACCAACACCATAATGCCATCGTCTGACGAGCAATTCCAATACTGTAAGTAAACTAATTTATTTTCAGGCTCATTTCTGCTGCCTTTCAAATTTTTTGAATAAACGAAGAATTACTGAACAAACATTGAAACAATTACATAAAGTGTGAGACTAAGATGCAAGCTTATCCTGACAGGATAAGAAAAATTTATATCAAAAATCAGTAAAAATGACGTAATGATCTGAATTCTTAAAATGTTTCTTTTGATATTTCATGCAGTTTTGAATCAGATGCTTCAATTGAAGTTCTATTTCTTTACTGATTATGAAACTTACTTGGCCGCAGCAGCTTGCATCCCTGGATCCGGTGAGTAAACAGCGAAAGTTTTGTTTATAATATTTATATACCTGATTGTAATATTTCAAAATCTGAATATATAGATACAATCTTATACAAGAAGATGTGTTTACTTTGAAATAATATACATTTTTTTTTCAGTATTTGGATGGGTCAAATTTACCAAACAAAATCCTGGAGGCAAAATCATTGCAAAAGTTTGGGACAAATTTTCGGAGTATGGTGAATTGCCGAAAATCACCTGGAAGACTAAATGTGTCAGACGCAAGTATCGACAGAAGAGAAATTAGCAACAATAATATATTTTTTCTTGTTAGTGATAAAAATATATATATATAAACGATTGAATAAAAACAACTGATTTTTTTTAATTTCGACAATGACTTTCCTATATTAAAACCGAAATTGTCATATTTCTCATGATTATATTATATTATTAATATTAAAAATGATATATACATATATATTATTCAAACACATAATAAAAATAACACCAAGTTTGTTCAGAGACCTTGAGTCAATCGGAAATCGGAATGTATTCCGGAGCGACAGTTTAATTGGTCATGGATATACATTGGACTTTCCTATGTTAAAACCTAAATTGTCACCTTTCTCGTGATTGTAGTATTTTAATAATATTATATACGCTAAATACAATTGTAACGTGATTTCAAAAATGTTTCATGTGAACGGATATTAAAAATAACACCAGCTTAGTTCTGAGCTGCTTAGTCGGTCGGAATGTATTCCTGAGAGCTTTTTTAATCGACCATGGATATATATTGCATCTTTGGATCAATGGGCCATTCGTGGTTTATATTGGCGTTTGGAGATTGAGTTATTAAGCCAATTGGCTAAGCGCTAAGGCATACACTAAATCTACCACGATGATGGCCAGCGCTTATATCTATTTAGTCTATCTGATCGGTAGTTTTTCTCACTTTTATTTTATGCTCCTCAATGTTTATTCTAAGACCCACTATTATTGAAAACTATTTCACATACACAGCAAGAGCCACTGTTGAAGCTTCCGCGAATATTTTTCGCTGCATGTCACACATCGCTTCAACTAGCCTAAATGAAGCCATCTAGTGAATTGAGTGATCTTTTTCTGATGGTAATAGTATTAATAGTGTTCTATAACATTTATTTCCCGCCCTTTCCAATCTGAATTAGATATTGGACCCATGTGGTGCTGATAGGTGGCCTCTCCAGAAAATTGTTTTGTTCATTAGAGAACACTCACTTTGTTCACTTACTGAATGAAGAAAATAAACTTGGTCATTACCCAGTTATTTTTCAGAACAAAACCACAATACATGTTAAACCAGCATATTATGCTAAAAGTCACCTGAAACCAGTAATATCATTCGTTCTTGTTTTCAGTTTATTTTAAATAAAAGATAGAATATTCGAGAATTATCAAGTTTTTTCAATTGATTATAAAATATTAGCAATTAAAAACAATACAAAAAGAAAACACGAATTACCTCGAATTCTGTAATTTAACTCAGTTAATGTTCAACATGTTCTTTTGGTAACTAGTTTTGACGGTAAATATACAGTGATAAATTTTATTCATGCTTTATGTTTAAATTTCAAATATTAAATATTTGAAATGATCATTCGTTTGTAATCCGTGCGAACTTTAATATGCCTCATAATAATTTCAATAACTTAATCACTGATTTCGCCATTTTTCACATAAAACACCTTGTATTGATGTAACGTGTGAAGATAGTGAAAACCTTGGCATATCATTATTGCCACTCAGTACTAAAACAGGACTTAAATGTTCTGTGAAATGTGAATTCTCGTAATCAGGATTCTAAAGATAAAATTGGTGAAAATTTAATATCAAGCATGACATAATAATCCATCCATAATCGGTATTTCAACATTACTTCTTTTTGAGACAAAACACTGGGAGAATTTTTTTTAAAAACTGTCCAACAAGTAGCCAAGTGAAAGAAAATTTAACATTCTTCCAAGTTATACGATAGAAAACATTGTTGATTGCACGACATGTTTACTATTGTTTCATTTTTTTTTCGCCAAACATAGAAAAAGCCTTTTGACAAACTACCTAATTTTAAGATCGCGAATACTGGACGAACAATTAATTACAACACTAAAAACCTACATAAATTCTTTTAATCCACACTTCAACTTCAACTTTACTTGTTCCAACGTTTTCGTAGAGAAGGTCTCTCACTTTGTTTATTGTTGTCTCTTCTTGAATATTCGCAATTTCTGCTGATTTTTGTTGACACTCTTGATATGCTTCAGCGTAGTCGCAATGAACACAAGAAATGTAGAAGAAAACCCCTAAAAAAGGTTATTTCAATTGCATCACTGAGTAAATAAATTGCTACTTCACTCTGTACTTAAGATTATGCACTAAAGTATATTAATAAATGATATGAACACGACTTCTATGCGATTTATTAAATGATTAATCTTAAGAATATTTACAGTTTGAAAAAAACATGGGTGGATATAGGTTCACAACCTTCACTATAACTGAGCGTACAAGATTTTAATCGCGGAAAACACTATCCCAAATTGATTGTGTGTTGGATTTTAGTCTATTATTTAAACTAAATCAAACATTTGATTCAAGACTTGATAATTTAGTCAATAACTCTTGGCATTTCTGTGGTCGCCCGTAAATTTTATCAGAGTTGAATGTTCGTTAGAGTGAGTGCGTATGACCTTGCTTTGATTGAATTCTTCTGAAAGAACTGTTGGACATTTTCAAAGTACATTATGAGCATAACGAATGTTTTCCGAGAATCGACTTCCTTGTTTATCAGATCAAACAGAATTTCAAGCGCTTGGTGTCATTGTATTGTTAGGTACCTGTCAGTTTTAATTTGTGTTTTCAAAACTTATGCATTCATTGTCTTTATCTTGCATGATGTTTTAGTGTAGGTGGGCGACCAAAGCGTTGCACCGTAAACGCTCGATAAATTAGACTTAAAATAGCTTTCTGTACTTTTAAAGGGCAGGCGATAATTTTTTTGAATGGAATGCTGGTTATGAACATATAATCTGTTTTGTAAGCGGCAATAGGCAAAGCCTTCTCTGACTATGCATTACAAAGTTTTAGTGAAACATTCAAAAAGATTGAATCTGGAATGCCATCAAGTTCCCTGCTTGACATATATTAATAGAATACCGTTGTCGATTTGACCGGATGGGGCAATTGGCGATTCCGTTGTTGTGTTTTTCGATGAAATAGTCACCTCCTTATCATGTTTATTTTTCATATTGTGGTCCGTGTTAAAATATACGTTTTGCTGGTACAACTAAAAAAATGAAATTGTATACTTTAATATTTCATACCTATTTATAGATACAATACGCCATTAGTCTCCAAGTACTTTAAATCACAAGCAATTTATTCTTTAAAATGATCTTTTGGGGGCTTTTGGGGGAAATATTGAAACATTGAATGATCAATAAATTACAGTGAATGCGCTGAACTCTCGATATAATCTTGAGACATATAAACTTCCTTACCTAACGGCACGGATGGGAGAAACAAAATTTTCACAATAAGGGGCTTACCACAATGAAGAATGTCATGAATCCAAAAATTATAAAGAAAGTTAAAAGGGATAAGATGAGTAATATAATGAATCGTCTTCTCCATGGATCACTCGCACGTTTGATTGTTGGTGCAATTGGAACTATGCTTCCATTAAATGACCGCAATGTTGAAACTGAGTTATCTGTTATTAAAAATGATTGCATGTTTATCTAATTCTAAGGTGTTATGATTTATGAAGTAGGAATTAGCTTTTCGTCGACATTTATTCCCAATTTCACGTCTTTAAACATAGAGAGAACTTACTTAGACATAGCAAAACAAACATGCCAAGCTGTGATATTTAGTACCGGACTTGAATGAATATAAAAAATTGTATATATCAGAATGTAACCCACCGGATGTCGATTCTAATTCTCCTGAAATGTTTGGTATTGCTTCGTAAACACCAGGTGTCGCGATTGGTATACTCCGTGCTGCAAAATAATAATAGCACTAAATTGGGCTCGTTTTTTATATATCGATGTAAACTGCAACGTATTCTCCCAATATTCGGAATTTTTGCTCACTATATCCAAAGCGTAAGAGAAAGCGAAAACAGTTATGCTATTAACCGGGGCAAATTAGCTTTACATAACAAAAAGTGGAATTTCATGTCATAGTTAAAAGAGTAAAATCATGTTACGTGAATATATTATACGTGTGTATTTCAGTAGATTTGCTAGCCCGGGATTTTATTTATTTTTAATCAATAGAAAAAATGAACCTAGAGAAAAATTGCGTATGCAATGTTTTTGTTTCACATACGAGTATGTACCGGAGCGCTGTATCATTATAGGGTGAATTAGAGCTCTATATTGCAGAAGAACAGTAGATAGTTACCTATCGGTATATATATTCTGTCTAAAACATTTCCCACAAGTGAGGATTACAGTTTACATGGGTTCAACATTTTATTGATCAGCTATCCACGACCGAGACAGGTAATAATACAAGAATCCGTGGTTTACAGAAATAACTTACATTTAAGCTTTGAATATAATCTCATAAAAATAGCATCAGAAAAATCTCGAGATTCATGTAATGGAAAATCCGCAGATCTTTATATGTTAAAAAAGTAACTAAGTGACTAGGGCGTATATTACAGTTCTACCAAAAACCTTACCCTCGATCTGTACGTATCCAGAAGAATCCAGAACAAACGAATCGTCGTGAATGCTGTCATTAACATATCCACCTACTGGTTCAACATATTCGCCAGGTCTCACATTTGGTACAAGGTAGCCTCCAGATTGCTGCATCTTACAATTTAATTAATGATTTATGTATATCTGCAAGTCAAATGAAACGTAGTAAGCCTAACACGTATAAGTAAAACTTGTCGGGGCACAAATGGCCGTCAATCAGTATTTCTCATTGGTTGGGTTTACGTTTTCTGTTGTACTGTGGATTGTATCTAGTAGGACCCCAAGATCAATTATAATATTTTAAAGGTTGTAAACTACGGTGATGAATAGGCTACTTAGCATACTTCCATGCCAAAATGTACAGAGAGTGTTACGCACATAGCAGCCTCTTCTCTAGATTCTGAGATTGACTGAAAAAAGTCTGAAATTTAATTTATCAAAATAAAAATTAATGAAACTTGCAAATTGTGGCCTCGCGATGTCAGAAATAGTGTCTTTCAATGTCTCTATTGGTGAGAGCACTGAGTTAAAGCTCAGTAAAATAGATCAAGGTAATTCATTATTACCAAATTGATATTTTGAGACTAAAACTCACACGGTTGTTACATCAATTCATACGAGAGTCCAGTTCATTATACCCATAGTATGACTACAATCAGTCAGAAGTCCACTTTGAATTTCAAAGTCAGTCACTCCAACAGTTTTATTAATAAATATATAAAAGAGCTAAAAAGGAGCTCAACCTTTTATTGACTTGCGCAACTACCTATTAAAAATTGTTGCAACCAAATATAGGCATATAACATATCTAAATATGGAAATAAAAACGTCAAAATCCAATCAGTACTATCAATTTATGCACTGCTAACAACTGGCACTAAATCAAACTCGAAACCAATGCAATTCTGCAGTAAACATGGCGAAAGTTTGTTTTACCCAAAAGGCGAATAGGGATTGTCGATATTCAATATTATAAATTTTTTTAACGTCCAAAAAAAAACAAGAACATTGATTATAAGGCAGTCCAAGAACGTTTCCCACTGAATCCCACCACTGGTCGTTTTATATAATTGCCAATGAATACGTATTGGGGGAATATCTTCATTGTTTCAGGTTTTAAATAGGGTGGCTGCGTTGCAGTAGGATGCACGTCGATATTACCTCGTGACTAATTAGTTACACGTACACGGAGTTAATCGGGTGATGAATCATGAGTTATACCAAACAGCGGAATTTCCCGATACAATACTGGGGAAGTAATATTATTCAATGATTTAGGCTTTAGGAGGAAAATGCATACGCAATACAATGACATTCTGTTAAACCTCTTATGCATTGTGTCCTCCGCAATACGACTATTGTGACGACAGTGAATTAATTTACTATTTCTCAGTACTATTTTTAGTCATTGTTTTGGCCTTTTGGCGACCAAAAGTTTCTGATATCATATCAAGGTTATCATACCAACACAGACATTGTTTTGACCTTTTGGCATCGAGAGTTCTTGAAATATATCAACGTTATCATACCAAGACGTAATTTTTTTTTTTGTAAAATGTTTTATTATTTATTAACATTTATATATTTATTCCACACATATGAAATATCCACAAGGTATGTAATATAAAAAAATAAAAACACAATGAACAATTCTTTATAAGGAAAACTAAATAGTATATATATGAAATGCATATACAGCGTGATCAGACCAAGTGTAGACAAATGTTTATTAAAATATCTACAATATAAATGTAAGAGAGATAAAAACTGTTTTGCAGAAAATAGCATCATAAAGATAAATAATATAATTCATTGTTATTTTTCGATATATCCTCCCTTTGCCTTCACTACACGCCTCGATCTGATTGGAACTTGACTGCACGAGGCACGTATGGTGTCTTCTGAAATTTTGTCCCAACAAATCATCAATCTATGATGCCTTAGAACAGTTGTTCTCAGTCTGAGTTCCGCGCACCACTAGTTATCCAAGGGAATATTTCAAGTGGTACGAAAGCAGCTTTGAATTATTGCCCAATTAACTTTTGTATTCGCTAAACGGCGTTTATAGCGCTTTCAATCCTTGTCTTGAGAGATCGCCCTCGCCCGTTACTGTCCACCTAAAACGAAACGGGCACGTTTTTGCCATTTTGCGCGTTTACGTCACTATACATCTTATCATAACCACTAAATTATCCAAAACCTCGTTCGAATACACTCTGATCAGTGCTAGCCACTATCACGAACGACCCCCTCTTTTGCCGATTTATTAATGGAGACGCACTGTGACTGTCACACTTTTGACATTTTCGGTTCCGATTCATCGCGAAGGCGCTCCGTCAAATCTTGCAAGAAACCTACAAATCAACATGCGTGATTTTGTCGTTCTGTAGGCTTTTCTTGATTTATAAGTCGAAGTTACGTTGGTTTATTATGCAATCTCTCTTCCGCCGTCATAATGGGAATTATTTTCTGTTCCACTCATTTCAATTGTTGCCGGTCCGCGAGTACATTTTATTTAATTTTACCGGTCCGCCAGGGTAGAAAGGTTGGGAACCACTGTTCTACACGGTGTTACCGTTGCATGTGGATTTTCAAAAGCTTTGCGATAAGAGTTTTCTCAATGCTTATTCGGGTGGCCATTGGAGTCAACTTGTTTTGAGGAATTTGAAATGAAAAATATAAAGCATATTTGGGTTTCCATTGGAATAATGTCTAATTGGGTGATCCATGTATACATACGTTCATTATTAGAGGTTTTAGATCTCGATATTTATTGGATCGGCTAACGACAATAAAGTTTTGCTCTAGTGCCTCGCACTACTTCTGCTAGTCTACGTCAATCTGAAGCAAATGACAAGTTACCTATTGCTATACCCGACAAGTTTTTGGTATCCGATAGAAAGGCTGTAGTTCCCCATGGAATTAGATCGTAACCGGCTTTCATCTTTAACAGCATAAATGTGAAAATTCCACTCCATATGGCCAGAAAACAGATACTCAGGGGTCGGCAACCTACGGCCCGCGGGCCGGATCCGGCCCGCAGAGTAGTGCGATCCGGCTCGCGACGCTCCACTGAATTATAGTAACAAAACAGCTGTTTTGACGATTATATTCTATACGTAACAGAATTTATTGTGAGACGTGTAGACTAAATTATATTATAACCTAACAAGTATATAAGTTAAAATTACTGGTCTAATGAGCCTATAATTTAATTAGAATAAGACAAATGGCAACAAAACGCAGAGAAGTTGACGCTAAGTGCAAAGAATTCAATGGCGCCGTAAATATTCAAATGGAATTTTTTGAGATGCAGTGCAATGGGGTAAAAAATCTATATTCTATTCGAGAACAATTGGTTTGGTTTTCAACTTTCTAAAAATATGCGCGGCCCGCAAATGACTTGCAACCCTTATTTTGGCCCGTGAGCGACAAAAGGTTGCCGACCTCTGAGATACGTGGTTGTGAATTTTATAAAACTGGAGTTTTTTAAAAAAATATCTTAAACAAGGTTAAGAATAGACCAGAACCCTGAACCTGTGAAAGGATCACGTGATTGCTTGTAATATTGTGACGTAATTCTATCATAATCCTCAATAGATTTCCCACAACGTTGACGACGTTCATCATTGCATATTTCCCCGCGTGATAATAACCTGGTAATCAAAAGTTTTTCGTGTTTCAATATGACGCCGTATGCTGATCTCATATACCACCAATATGCGACGTGTTATCAAATAACTCGTCTCGGGGAATACAGTACAGAATAAGGACACCGGTTGCATATATAGATTCTAGACAAATGCTACTGGCATCATTCAGGAAACAGAGCATGTGGTTTCACTATAGTCAATTGCATTATATTCACCTGCTTTTCATAGTAATTAATTCTCATTGTCTACCTTCTCTGAAAGTTCCTGTGTAAGTACGCGCCAGAAACTTTTATCTCTTCACCACGCTTGATGAAATGAGTTGGTCGTAAGAAAAATTGCCGTAAAAATTATAGCGATTACAGGTAAATACAAATGAATTTACTTTTTGAATTAACATATGGCTTAAGAAAGCATTGTAACAAGGTGGCATATGTCACGAACCGAAGGCTATCAAATGACAGTCGATTGTGTCCAACACACGAAGCGCATATGGAATTTATAGATGAGTAGATTGAGTAAATCTTGTTTGGCTGTTTATTCCGAATTAATCCTGTCACTCTTACACAAAACGTATTTAAAATAGTCGAGGCGGCACACTTCGGTCGAATGTGCAGAATTGTAACAGGCACTGAGGTTAAATGAGTAAATTCAGATTAACCAGCGATAAACAGAAAGTATTTGAAACCGCGCAAGCGTTTTACCATTCGTCATATTGACTACTGAATGACTTCACACAGGACAGCGATTTCTTAACGTTAGTTGACTCATGGATTTTTGATGTTGAAGTTCTGGCAAAGCTAAAAGTATTTATCAATACAAAAACATGCCAATGTCCTTGTTAAATTGTCTAAATATAATAAAGTACTTATTAAATTTGATAATATCAAATTTGCTACACCTTAAAGACCATTATATTTTGTCGGTATATGGTTTGCTCTTATAAATATACAGAGTTTAGGCAATTCACCTTAAAGACTCAGAAGTAAGTTCTTAAGCTATTAGGAGAATAATCCGTGCAAAATGTCCCAACACCCAAAGTGAAACTTATTTTCGCGTTCAAACATTTACTTCTTCCATATCTATTAGATTATAATGTTAACTTAATTTGTGATTTATAATTGTTTTCAGGAACTTGGAAATGAGATTCTTAGTACTTTACTTCTGTTTCCTTTCTCCCTTCATTGTATTTCAATGCGCGGATACAGTTGATGAAAATACATGGGAGATTGCTGAAAATATTCTTTTGACAGACATAAGGTTGATCGAGGAGCTTCAGGGTAAATTGACGATTTGAGCATGTATTCGATGAATTAGAAGGCAACGTAACCAAACTGAAAACAGGAGGAAGCCTCAGAATTAAGAGAAAATGTAGCAACTGTGATATACAATCCTATCCAACGTATTGAATTCATGGAGAGATTTGTTGAAGAGTGGTCTCATGTTAGTGCCCTGTTGAACGAAACATCCGAATTACAAAATTCGTTTAAGAAAACAGTGAATGATGTTGCAAATAAAATTACAAGGAAGATATCAAAGACCGACATTTCGGAAAATCCCCAAAAAATCATGGACATTATATCTGACAAAACTTTTCCAAAATTCTGCCCAAATCGCCAACGCAATATTTTGGCTGCTGTCGCACCTTACAAGAGGGAGTGAAATCACACTTACAGTGGGTGTATGATTATAATCACTTATTTACGGAAGGTTGAAGGTCTAGGAGTTGAACTGTGTTTACCACCTTACCAAAAATGTCTCATTCCCAAATGATAAAATAATATTTAGTCAATGTATGAAAAGTTCAATTAATTGCTTGCTAAGAGCTTTTATTCAGTGCAAATATTGGAGAATGTAGTTACTAATGATTTAATATTGCTGAATTCATTGTAACTTGTATATTTTCTGTTACATACTGATAGATATTAAGGTCTCATAGCGTTCATTGCTCAAATTGTTTAGGCATAAAAACATTGGGAGTACAACTTCGCCATTCACTGCCGTGTGCATAAAGCCATACTCAATTAATAGAAAAAATTATTGCTCAATATTTAAACCAGATATCATTTGATTTTAACAAATAAAATTTCGAAAGTTAAATTGTGTGTCTAACATATTATTAATTATTTATAAATATATATTGAAAATTGCCAGGTCTGTTAGACAATGATACGCCGTGGCTATAATTATAGGGAAGTTGCCTGTTATTGACTCTAAAAATTGCCGTTGGATCACTGAATTAAACTGGGTGGGTTATGGATAATTTCCTGGTCGCCAAATCGATAAAAGGGATTTCTTGATAGAACCACAGAATGGCGTAATGGGCAAAGGGAATATAAAACAAAACTACAATGCTGGTTTTCCGATATAAATACATTCTGTCAATAAGTTGAATAGTTATGTAAATCAGGATGATTTAGAATTTTTAGACACTGTTGTCGATGCATGCTGGTTAGTGCTATATTCTAATTATATTTTGTAGGTATAAATACAGTTGGACAAACGAAATTCTGAAGCCAGTTAGAGTTCATTGATCGAATGAACCGCGTTTTATGTGCCCAATTTTCGACGTTTTTAAGCAATTGAAAAGGATAATAACCATATATACATAATATTGCCATCGCATTCTCGTAGATAATAAAATTATCAATAAACTGCTGCATAAAACACAAACTAAAATCAGGTCCCCATCTATCTATCGTTCTTCCGGCTATGAATGCGTTGAAGCTCGCAGTAAATCGTAAAATCACGTTAGGCTCAGGCCAAGACTCAGACAGGTATCCAACTAAAAACTTCAAATTTTAGTGTCAATTCACTCTATACTAAATTATAAAATGAGCATCTTCACACAATGAGACGGATTTTACTCAAGGGGTACGAAATATTCATTTTGACCTTTCGCACATGGGTATGCTCAGACGCTCAGAGAGGTTCTATCCTCTGACTTTTCTACCCCCCCTGGAAATTTAAAATTGAAAAGTTGAAAATTGTAATTTTCCGTTACTAAATAACAAACGACCAGTATTATAGTAAATTATTGTGATTTTACTTTTTAGGGCAGAGCCAAATGGGAACACATTATAAAACTTATTCTCAAATTTCACAGTTGAGCAGGAAAATTTGAAGATATTTCAAAAATAAATGTATTAAAGCATGACGCTGTTTAACAGAGAAATGAACAATGAAATCGTTTTCCCGATAAGGAAAAGAAATAAACAATTATAAATATGAGTAAATTCATAATAATATTTTTCAGACCAAAAATGTTAGAAAAAAGGTGAAAACGAAACAACATGGCACCCACACAATATTATAACAATGCATGGTTAGGGTTACCATATTTTTTGGACTTCAAAGCGGGACGCCTCCAAAGACACGACCTCTTAGCTGTGATCCTGTAACTTTACAGTTTCCGATTTTACTACATATGCCTACATTTAAAGCCATCCCGGCTGTCTTCATTGACCATATTGTCATCGAGAGTTCATGCGCATATTCTCTGTCTAAACATCGGGTTCAGTTCGAAAAATAGAACGGAATAGACGCTAACGATACAAATGATCCGAATTTAGATTTTTTTATGTACAGCAAAAGGAATAAAAAAGAATGAAATAGTCTGCCGTTTTCAAGCATTGAGAATTTATTTATTCGCTAAGCTTTTTTTCATGCAACAACGAAACATTCAAAATAACGCATTCACCTTCAGTAAGTAGGCTAGCGTTGCACTACACAGCAACAAAGCAACGAGAACATGTTCGTGTATTATGCTGGATGGCTGAACGCAAAAGCGGGACTTTTAGCCGACTTGTCGGGACGGCGGGACAAGACACTAAAAAGCGGGACTGTCCCGCCTAAAGCGGGGCGTATAGTAAGCCTATGCATGGTATATATTTGTATGATAGAATGGGATTATTTTCCCAAAATAGCTGCCTTCAACAAATATTATCAGTAGAATATATACAATACAAAAACTTCTTTATTTACCAGTAACCATCGTCGAGAGTTGCGCCACAGGCCTACCAGTAATCATAAATAAATCACCCAAACAAATGTCATTGTCCGTGATTTTCTCACTCATGCAACTTCTGGAATAGATTTAATATCGCAAGCTTATCTGGTAAAATAACTTAACAAACGTAAACAGTTCAGCTATTTTTCAAATCAGTCAAGAGCCTGTTTCAAGTATATATAGTTGGAACATGCATATATAACAGAGACGTGTTTTGCATAAAACCTAATCAACAGTATTAACGGTAAAAGACGGTTTCACCATTTTAATCAAGAAGACATATTTTAGGACCTTATTGGACACGTTTAGTGGCCATAACGATCGCTTCAAAATTTTGTTGTTATTGTTATTTTCTTTCGTCAATATCATTAAAAAATTGCTTTTCGCTTCGAATACTGGACCAATTGCTTTGAAATTTTCAGTGGTTAAAGATAAAATTTTTCTCCAGAAGGCTATTACTTTTTTTTTGCTATGACGTTATCAAAATTATTGCCATTGGGTGGCGCTACGTGTCCATATATTCGAGCATAGCTCTCTTGTTAAATAAAAAATGAATATTTCTATGATTTATCGCTTCAGCGAATACTATGTCTTGCTCATGCAACCCAGAGTAATGCTCGAATCCATTTTGCGCCATCTTTCACTGCAACTGAGCTTACACTGTGGGTGATTCGAGCTCACCCTTATGTATAACGGTACCGGTACGCTTCCTTTTTGCCATCACCATTGATGTAGATAGTGTGGATTAGATGAGGTTCACTTCAGTTGCAAATTTAAAGAAAACAAATAAACAAAAATAAAAGGTCGGTGTATATCATGTAATAACAATACAAGCATGTCCTCGTCAGAGTCCCCTCGACTGCACGGTGAAAATACAAAGCCAGCGCTTCAGGTATAGGTCCTCAAATAGAATGTCGCCAACTGTTGATCATGACATGACTCACATTTTCAGTTTTAAAACCGGCGCTAGATTCGAATTTTTATCATTTAGGAAATCATTTAGAAATGCCTTATTGACAAGGTGAGTGTAGAAGAAAACATCTACAAAACTCACAACACCAGTGCTTTTTATTAGCTTTTTCAGATACATTGGAACATTTCAGGAAATATCTGCACCCGTGCGAATAATTCAAGCTGCTTGTTCTATAATTGCTTTAAAACTTTGTGTGTGCGAGAAAGACAGATATAGTATATATATATATTAATTTACGGTGCTTATGAATCTCGATCGTTAAGTATGTTTATAGGTATTTGTCTGTTTTTTGTTTGTCTGTTAGACCGTAAATGTATGTCACGCGATATCACGAAAGCGAGGTTGAATCTGCTCCAAATTTTGCATGTGCGTTCATCATATCTCGGACCAAAAGCTTATTGATTTTGAATGAATTATGTCGTATGATTTGCGAGTTGATAATTAATTAGTGATCTGACACGCGGTGTCGCTATTGAGTCAGAGTAAAGGAATCGAAATCGCAGATCGATAAGTCGGAGCTCTCCAATCGCTATCTAGTTTATATATTGTAGATTACAAACACGTGCCCTTTCTTTTTAATTGGCCAACTATAATTTTTCATCATCTTTTTAAACTTTTTTTTTGAGTGTCTATTAAGCTTGTTTTTATTTTTATTTGTATTGTTCACGAATTGCTGCTATGTTGATTAAAAAGACAAAATAAACTTCTGATTTGACCATTTATTCCAAAATATATCCCATTTCGGCTTGTCACATCACTAGATGCAATATTTATATATGCTTATTAACTGAATACACTAATCTGTAATACTATTTATGTTGGTATGACTAACTTCAATAAATATCATAGTTTATCGTTAACATGCATTTTTTTAAACATGCAACATTCTTAACTTGTAAACGTTTGGTATTACTTTCTATAATTTTCTACGATGTTGAATTCCAGAATATGATACAAGCTATTTATAATAGTCATCTTTTACCATGAGATCATAATAGCTCGACTTTGATGACTGCATGGTCGTATCGGTCCCTCCCATCGAAGAAACATTCTAATTTTTTATTTTTCGATATAGTTATTATTAATATACTGTAACTGTTTTATTTTGGCTAGCAGTTAATAAATCTTGTCAAAGAAGACAAAAGAACTAGCGGCCATATATTTGTGCTATTTAGCAGGTTCTATTATGCATTCCCTTGTTTCGTTCAGTGCTGAGCTGATCGGCCTTCGGCGATCATTGCGATAAGTTCAAGTGAACTCGTTTTCATGTTTTGTTTTTGGTTCATAGCACACGTCGTTACGATAGTCGGTATGTTCGTCTGCAGTTAATGAGTTACCGGTACCAGTACGGTACCGGTATCGGTTCATTGGAAATTTGTGCCATTAATTCAGTAATTGCGTAGGCATGTTGTTATCGGCACGTCTTAAACTACTTTACTGGGATCTCTGAATCTGACATACCGGTCACCGGGTACCGTAAGTGGTCCACCGTCCACGCGCATGCAGGCTGCAGCCAGTATGGCAGTGCTAATTGCACCGGCAGACCGGTGGCACATTCTGACACAAACATGTGCTTTTACGTCCTTATTGCTTTATGGCGGTACCGGTATGGGCTAGAAGTTTTTGGGTCTCATGTACTTTCTTACCTGAATAACTTCTAGTGGGCGTGGCGTAACAATTTTTGGATATATGATTCCTGACCCCTACCTGATGACGTCATCCAAAAATTACGTCACTGCGACGTCACAATAACGAAATACAGCTTGCCAAAGTATAGCGACGGTCACCCGTAATGGCGCCTACGAGTATGTCAACAAACTCAATACGTCAGCGACCTCTCTCTTATCGGGGGGTCGTTGTACAGAGCTCAAAATAAACAAGAATCACAAGCGACTAAATTGTCGCCAAGGAACGTTCACGATATCCCATTCTGACCAATTTCTGTCCAGCAATAGCTCATGTATCGTGCTACAATCTAAAATAGAGCGTTATACGATACAACTCTAACCAAGGCTTTAGACAAGCAGAAAA